ATTTTCATGATGTCTAATGCTTTCCCTTTCTATGCTAGTAATGTGATTTATATGTCCATGGAGGTTGTTAACGAATATAAATTTCTCTTAATGGGACCAATGTCTATTTGGAGGAAATTTATCTCTGTTTAACTGCATCCTCCATCAACAATTCCTGGATAACTTTTGGCATAGCTGGAACTTAACAGCCTGGTCAATTAGTGTAGGTGAACTGTCTAAAATGAATTGTGTAAACAAAATTAAGATGTGAGATGTAACAAGAGTGGACATGTGTATGTGTTGATATAAAACAGTTACTGAAAATAAAAGGTAAAGAAATAAATTACCCCCACATATCTGACTCAATAACAATTTAAAACAACTATTTTCATTCATTTAGACAGAGCTATTCACATACTTGGATTATATTAAACTGCACTTCCAATGTTTACCTCTGTCAGGAGCCATTTACATTTTTCTACTGAGCACGGAGCAACCAGCTTGCTTGGACTTGCAATGAATCATGGGATAACGAAGGCTACGGAGGACACACCGGACCTGTCTTTCAAAATTGACAAAAAGTAGGATGCATTCCTCGGCTGCATAACGAGGAGTCTTGCAATATGAACGGGCCTTGACGTAATCAGCTGACAAATCTGGCATTCAAAGGACGCAGGCCCTGAATTCGAACTCAGCAACAGTGGTCTAGATCAAGGACAATCCAAATGCCATCAGTAGGAACACTGTAATACGTCTGCTGTAGTCAACAGGTAGGTAATGTCAGGGTCATGTTTGGTCGATCTGTGTCTGGTCGCCAGGGTTACCATACAGCCCCGGAGCTCACAGCTGGGTATTTAAAGCTGTAATGGTCACCTAGCCTTTACCCACACCTGCTGCCCATCAGCTGACTAGCATATTTTTTGTTCTGTCTTCCATTTAGACTTAGACAGACTTTATTATCATTTTGTACAGACAGAGTGTAGACAAAAAGAGTTTTGGTTCAGTACAGCTCTCGAGACGTTTTAATTTTTTAAACTGCAGCTGCGATAAAGGTAAGCAGCAGTGATAAATGTAAACATACGACTGTAAATTAGTTACAGTTCCAACATTCAGGGTTTTTTTTTATTTGAAATCCAATTTTATACAATATTCGGCAGTCTAATGGCATTGGGGAAGAAACTGTTCTGGAATCTGCTGGACCTGCATCGGATGCTTCGAAGCCTCTTCCCAGAGGGAAGCAGGGAGAACAGTCCATGGTGGGGGGTTGAGGGGTCATTGATGATGTCATGAGCTCGGGACACGCAGCTCTGGGATGAAATGTCTTTATTGGAGGGAAGAGGAGCCCCCCTCTCTGCTGTTCTCACCTTCTTCCAGTCTGAGGCGCTGCAGCCTCCACACCACACAGTGAGACAGCTGGTCAGAACGCTCTCTATGGTGCTTCTGGAGAAGGTGGGGAGGATGGGGGGGGGCAGGTGGGCTCTCCTTATCTTCCGCAGGAAGTCCAAGCGCTTCTGTGCTCTTTTGTCCAGTGAGGTGTTGTTTCCAGTCCAGGTGAGGGTGTCTGTGATGTGCATCCCCAGGAATTTGGTGCTGCTGACCACCTCTACAGCTGAGCTGTTGATGACCGTGGAGCGTGGTTAGGACGGTTCTTCCTGAAGTCCACCATGATCTCCTTGGTCTTCTCCACATTCAGGATCAGGCTGTTATCTCTGCTCCACCAGCTGCTCCACCTCCTCTCTGTAGTCCAGTTTGTTGTCGTCTCTGATGAGGCCCACCACCGTGGTGTTGTCTGCAAACTTAAAGAAGTGATTGGTGGTGAACCTGGGGACGCAGTCGAGTGTCATCAGGGTGAACAGCAGGGGGCTCAGGACGCAGCCCTGAGGGGAACCTTTGCTTGGGATGACATCAGAGGTGTTCTGTCCGACCTGGACTGACTGAGGTTTATATATATATATATATATATATATATATATATATATATATATATAGTCCTCCTCTGTAGTTCCTCATTGCTGGACTATCTTCATCACTTCATCCATTCATTCCTTCGTTCCTTTGGCTTGTTTTCCCCCCAGTGTCTCTTACTTTTTGGTTTGGAGCTTCTTTTTTATCGGTTCTTAATTATGGTTTGTGCATTTTTAGTTTACTTAAAATTTCTGCCTCTTTGTCTCTGTATCTGGGTCCTCAACAACTTTTCACAAATCCTGACACCCCCCCAGTGGACCAACCATCTATAGGTGGAACCCTGATGTTTCATTTTCGTTAAATAATGTTTCTTTTCCTCCAGTGCTCTCTATTTATCATCAAATAAATATGTAGGTGTCTAAGGCTACGTTCACTCAGCCTGAAGTGCCCCAAATCCGATTTGGTTGGCCATATGTGACCTGGATCAGATCTTTTCATGACAGTCTAAACAACACAGATCAATTTTTTTCAATTGTTACTCAGGCCACTTAGCTTAGTGGTAACGAATCCAATATGAATCTGATCTTTTCTTCTGAAAGTCATTTATACTCAACAAAGGTCCCTATTCTGCGTCTTGCTACGCAGAAGCAGGAAGAAAATCAACAACCATGGTGGAAGATGATGAGAAGAACAGTCTTTATTTTCCACCTTCTTGAAAAAAGATTGTGTTCATGCACTGGCTGAGATTAGGAGAGAAATGAAATACAGAGCACCTGCTTGTGACATCATTGCGTCCTCTACTGCGACAATTAAGTTGTATGAATGCAAAATTGTATGAATGCAGTTTACACAGGAAATCACATTCAAGTCGCATATATTTGAAATTATAAACGGCAATGCAAAAGTATCTGATTTATATATATATATATATATATATATATATATATAGAAGACTCAAGTCGAGCAGAGAAGAGAGGCATTTTCCATGTGTATTCAAATTTTATTAAAAATTGACGAGGTGTTTTTTTTTTTTTTGCCTTAAATTTAAAAACTCTTTTGTTTTTCCAACAATATGGAATATAGTTTGCTTTTGGTAGTAGCACATTCTAGTGGTGTACTATTCCCCATATAGTTTAAATTAATCATTGTCTGCCCTTCATGAAATGACCCAGACAGTCTGAAGTTTTATTGTATACTTTTATTCAAAGTCTCCAAAAAAAATTGAACAAATGTTTTAGTATACTGCTGAAAAAATTCACATTTCCTCTCATATGAGTTAATTTCACAGAATTACTTTGCTGCGTAATGGAACCTAACAAGGAACAGTTACTAAGTTTAGAAGCAGTTTTTTTTTTAAGCTCTGCGATCTGAGCAACGATGAGATCACCAACTTCAAGGAGATTATCAAGTGGACAGAAATAACAGGGAAGACAGTATGAGATGGCGATTTGTGCTATGTAATGTTTTTCAAGTTGCTGACCTGAGCTATTAAAGATATTTTGTTTTTAAACAGTATATAGGCAAATATAAAAGAATAAAGTCCTTGTGTTAGTAGCAGTAATTTTGCTGGATTTTGTTCTTTAACAACATCATCACACACACTGCTCCTAAGATAAAAACATGCTTGTTCTTATTACATTTTGTTTAAATACTTGTTCTTATATTGCTGCGTTTTGCTGTTCTGATATTTTTCAATTGGATGTGAGGCTTGGAATCTTAATCAACTTTAAAAAATAATTTGTTTTTGTTAAATGAAGACCAATTTGTGATCCTGTATTTTATCCCCTTTTTGGTCAAATTCATATAAAAAAAAAAACTACATTTAAATTTCCAGTTTAAAGGAATTTCTGCAGAATATATATATTTTCAATAATTTCTTATGTTGTTTCTCTTCATTTTTGCACCAGGAGAGAACCGAGTTTGTCTGATAAGTATGTCCACCTTAGAAGCAGCAGTGCTGTGCGGTCTGAGCATTATTCCCTTTAATGCTCTAAGCTCATGCTGCCTGACTTGCACCTGAAAAGATTAACCCTGCTGATCAGGCAAGGGAATCCTGAGCTGCTGAATGTGTTCAGTACCGACACCTTCAGACTCTGAGCCTATAGGTGCTTGTTTTTCTTTAAATGAAGGCAGTTATTAAGGTTCAAATCTGCAACTCACCCCAGGACTGCTCCAGCAAACAGGTACTGGGGACAAATATTTGTGAAAGAAATGTCCTTTAACTTAAAATGATTTACTCTGTCCAGCAGGAGAGTTTTGTGGGTCTAAGATGATAGGATTTCTAAATAATTGTATATTTTGCCTGTCTAATTTCCGATATTTTGCATGTTTAGGATGTTAGTGTCAGTTTTGTTCTTCAGTGTCTAAGCCAGATACACTCCAGCAGTTATTAAGAAACTATACACTCAGCAAAAATATCAGTGTTACCAATTATGGAGTCATCAAATATGTTTCAGTTAGTTACAACAGCAAAGTGATGTATCAATTTAATTTGAAGAAAATGATAAAACAATAATGTTACAATAATATCAGGAATTATTCTTTTTGTTAACTGTTGTTGCTTCTTGTGCATTTATGTATTGGTCAACATTTAAAATGGTAACTTTAAGAATGTTACTGTATTGAGTAATTAACAAAATATAGGTAATGATACACCCCAAAACAAAGGATATTTGCCAATGGTTATGAGATCTTTCAATTCCCAAAAACATATTCAACAGCCGGTCAGATTTTGGAGTAGAATGAGAATTTAAGAAAACATCCTTGGTCCATAGAAATTCACTGGATATTAGATTCCAATAAATTCAATTTAATCTAGTTTATTTCTATAGCACCAATTCACAACGTGTCATTTTGAGCACTTTACAGTTCAACCAGATCATCCAGTCAGATTGATTCAAAGTTTTTATATCTTAGGAAAACCAGCTGATTGCATCGACTCATTGACTCTTCAGCAATCCCTCACACTAAGCATGCTTGTAGTGACAGTGGAGAGGAAAAACTCCCTTTTAACAGGAAGAAACCTGCAGCAGAACCAGGCTCAGTGTGAGCAGCCATCTGCTCAGGCATCTGCTGTTTGGATATTAATGCTAACATTGTCTCCCTGTGTTCCTTAGGACCAGCAACATATAGGATACCAGGAAAAAGAATCCTTACCTCTGCATCAAGGACTTTCACATGTATTCAATGATATGGACATTCCAAAGCTTCTGTATGTATCAGAGAGGAAACTCTCTGAGAGTGAGAAAGTGCAAGGCTATGTAACCCATGCCCACATCTCTTCCCTTAAGGTTAGAACTTGGATTCTTCTTTTTGCTTTCTTTGCTTTTCTGGTGTTGTCTATTAACTTTTTCCAACAGAATGCATTCAGGATATTTAATAATCAATCAATAACTTTTTGTCTATCAGGTATTAGGATTTCCACTTTGATTACATCTCTTACAAAGCACTGGGTAACCTTTCTTGAGTCCAATCCAAAAGTCAGCAGGTGTCCTTGAATTAGGCCATATCTCAGTATGTGTACTTGTGTTTTCTCATGTGTTAGTGAAATGTCCGCCCCAGTACTGTTCCATCTGGCAGAACACAAGACAGAGAACGGACAAAGTCCACCGACATTGTTCTCGCCCATCCCTCTTTACCCAGCATGCATCAGAGGAATATAAGTTAAAAAGTCACTTTTTTGTTGGCAATGTTTTATAAAGTACCGCTGGCTCTGATGGAGGTTTTTGTTTGTTTTTGGTCTATTTGGCAAATTTTTCATTTGATTTGTGTTTATCTGACTGTGTTCATTATTATTCCCCCACCAAATGAAAAAAGTCATAATTTATTATTATCTAAGACTATTAATAACAGGAGGTGAAATGCAGCTCCAGACTAACTTTGAATGTGGTGATGTCATCAGTACGTGTTCTTGTCAAAAATGTACTTAGCGAGAACACAAGTCCACACTTGCATTCTTGTGAATTGAGTTACGAACATTAACTGAGTCAGTGGTTATAAAGATGAACAGTTCCTCCTCTGATATACCAAAGTCTGCAGTGGGTAACATGTGAGTCAGCCTCAAAGTGAATACGGCAAACCATTTGGTGCCTCCAGAATGGGAAGCGGTTATTTGCAGTAGGAGTGAGGAACTGCTAACCCTAACTGAGGACAGTGATGGATGGATGGATCACTTAAGGGATGTTCTGCACTCTGCTGTCAGGCCCTTTGTCTGCCTGGCTGTGTTACAGTTGCCTTTTGTATCTGTGCTTCTTTCTGTATGTCTGCTTCTGTCTCCTTGAAAATGTCCCCACTTTCCTTGATGGGCCCTTGGCTGGTCCCCTACAAAGTCTTTTTAAACATCAGTCTTTGTACTAAAATATTATTTCTGTCATGATTTGAGGACATTAAGATCTAAAGAGAAATGTCATCTCCTGGTCAGATCCTGTGAATCAGTGAAAGGGTGGAGTCAGAGTAAAAAAATTTGCACACCCAGGAGGAGGCTAATGGCTGGAAGTTGGATGGGATTTCGCTGGGAACTGCAGGGAAGTGGGCTGCCATTCTGCTGGCGTTGAACTGGGAAGGGCCATTTGAATGGCTGCTACTGTATATCTGGGGAATTTTGCATAAGAAAACACACCAAGCAAGGATAGATATTTAATAAAGGCTGGTAGCATCTAGCAGAATGCTAGATGCTACCTCCCCCTACAGAGGTTCAATGGCTGCAAACAGTCAAGTTGCACCTGTTTTAAGACACGCAAACCCTCTGAAAATCAGGCCCTTAGTGTATATAACCTTATTTAACCTGATCAAGGCATATAACATTACTATGCTCCTTTGAATAAGCTAATATTTTTCTTCTTTGTGCTTATCTTGTCTTACAGGCTAGTCCTGCTGCAGCTATTGTCAACACAGAAACTATGGAGGCTGTTCCTTTGGTGAGTGTCCTTTTTAAATTAATTCATTAATATTTCTATACAAGGTTAAAAACTTTCAATGCTGTTGACAAAACATAAATAAAATAATGTAGACAAATATATATTCTGTAACATACTATAGTGGAGGCGTCTCATGAGTGTTTATCTGTCTAAAAACCACTCTATCATCCACCCCTGGTACTTCCTGGGTGGTTCGAGTCCCCTAGCAGAGGCCTGGGAGTTTGATGCTCTGTTCACGCCGCATGCAATTTCAGCAGCAAAAAAGCTCCTGCTGCTTAATCTTTGATGCGTGTCCACATTAAGGTCAGACATCCAGTAAAGTGTGTCCAGATGATCTGATGATTCTGCTGCTCCTGTGTTCAATGGCAGAGAGCGGTTTTGCTATATTGGCTCTGATCAGTGGGTAGAAATTAGTTTTAACATGTTTTTAAGTGAGAAAGTCCACAAACATCATTTGTGTAATTGGTTCATTCAGATTATGATCCTGCCTTGTAATTTCTCTGTCTGAGCCGCTCAGACCGGCGGTGCGCTTTCACTAGGAATCCCCAGCAGCAGCTGCCTCAGGCTGGTCGCCTCTTGGTAAATTTCACCTACTGTTGGTGGCGGCTGGAAGGAGTATGTAGTGCCAACTGCAGGCACCAGAATAATAAAAGCAAACATATTCTGCCTGCTGGTTTTGGCATTTTAAGTTAATTTAGGTATTAATAAACTGTTTGAAGGAGTTATTATAGCACCTTGCATCAGCAGCGCTGTGTCTGTCTCTCTGCCAGCTTCTAAGATGTGCTGCTGCTGCCGCAGGACCTTTTGATGCACCTTGATTCATGTCAACCATGGAATTTAAAAGTAAACCGGCTGCTTCTGCTGCTCAAACCACTTTTGGTGGGAACATAGCATGAAAGTTTCAGCAGCTACTTAGTTCCATGGGGCACTTTAGTTGCCTTCACGTTTTAGGCTCTTTCTAGTTTTTCCCTCAATGTTTCTCCAGTCTCTCAAGTTCTTTTTTTCTGATGTTTGCATCATTTTGAAAGGCGTATCGATCACTGTTTGTTGGCTGTCCTCTTGCACCCTGCTGTGAGATGCTGGATTGTTTCTGGGGCCTCTTTGGATTGCTTGAACCTTGGATCCTGCCTTATATGATAGATCTTGGCCTGTATTGCTCTGGTGCATAAGGCCTGCTCTTGTAGTGCCATGATCAGTGCTTCTGTGCTGTCCTTTGGCCCCGCTGTCTCCAGCCATTGGTAGGATTTGGTGATATCAGCCCTTCCAGCTATCTGTCTATTGAACATCCCATACAGGTTTTTTTTTTCCTCCTCTATCTTCCTTTGCCTTCAGAGAGCACTTTATCCCTTAGGGCCATCTTACAGATTTATTATTGGAGCTTGGATGTTTCACCGTTCTCTGGTGGCTCTGATGCCCACTAGGCCTCATCATCCTCTACAGAATGTGGTTGATAATGACCCCATTTTTGAGTTATCGTTAGCCATGCTTGTTAATGCAGAAAGGAAAAGGGCACAGCTGTTTGAGCTGAAAGTGCTCCTTGGGATGTTTAAAGCTTGAGAAACCTTTTTGGATCCAAATCTGGCTTAAAATTTCTCCACAACAGCATCTCAGACCTGACTGGTGCGTTCCTTGGTCTTCATGATGCTCTCTGTACTATAAACAGACCTCTGAGATGATCACAGAGCAGCTGCATTTATACAGAGACTTTATTCCCATCAGGTGGATTCTATTGATCATCATCAGTCATTTAGGTAAACATTGGATCATTCAAAGATCCTCACTGAACTTCTGGAGAGGTTGCTGCACTGAAAGTAAAGGAGATTTATTTTACACTCCCCGATCTTCATCCATCCATCCATTTTCTGACACGCTTAATCCCAAGTGGGGTCGCGAGGGGGGCTGGTGCCTATCTTCAGCTGTCTACGGGTTAGTGGCCGGGTCCAACCTGGACAGGTCACCAGTCCATCGCAGGGCAACACAGAGACACACAGGACAATCAACCAGTCATGCAAACACTCACACCACCATATCTATCTATCTATCTATCTATCTATCTATCTATCTATCTATCTATCTATCTGTCTGTCTGTCTGTCTGTCTGTCTGTCTGTCTGTCTGTCTGTCTGTCTGTCTGTCTGTCTGTCTGTCTGTCTGTCTGTCTGTAAGCTGAATGTTATCAACTGTCTGTTGTGCGCATGCGCTGAGTGGACGCTGGCGCATTTTGCAGCCGCTGCTCTCCGCTACCTGTTTTTAAGTATTTTTCAACGTTTTTACGGAACTTTGGGCTGTGTAATCACACTCAAGTGAGAGCAAAGACACTTGCCTTCGCTTCTATCGTCCTAACTCCGGCTGCCATCCCGTTGTTTTTGTGTCTGAGTGTGGTTAACTAACCTCACTCTCCAACTGTTCTCCTGACTCGACACCGCTGCTGGTTAGCCACCCGCTGCCGTTAACAATGTCAACCTCCAAGTTCTACATCTGGTGTATCCTCCTCTGGACTATCCTCTTCACTCTACATCGACCTGGGGCTGGTCTGTTCCAGTATTCGGCTGCTGATCTCCTCCTGCTCCGTGGGCTTCTGTCTGTGCCTCCACCACCAGTTCTCCAGCTACACCCGGAGATCATGCTCCTTCCCCGCCGGAGATACATCCACCGCGGATCCCGTCGGAATTTCCACATCGATGACTCTAATCCAATACCATCATTCTGGTCAACTTCACGCCGCTCTCGCCGATATCCCGGTCGGACCGCTGACTTCAGTTCGCTTGCTAGCCTGGCTAAGGCAGCAAGCCCCGCCTCCGGTCATATCAACTCTACCGTCAACTTTGGACTCCTGAACATCCGCTCTCTCACAAACAAGGGTCAGCTCATCCAGGATCTCATCCATGACTGTAAGCTGGACTTCCTTTGCCTCACGGAGATGTGGCAACAACCTAAAGACTTCTCCCAGCTCAACGCCTCCACTGGGTTTGTTTAC